ACCATCAGCCTGTGGCTTTCTAATATTTTCTCTTTTTTTCACCTGTAAATGGAAGCTAAACCTCCATCCTTCAAGCTCTCCTGTCATTCTCATTTCTGTCTAATAATATTCCTTAATGGATCAATATTTCTTACAGTTTACAGGTCTTCCTGAGCATGTCAAGTCTCATCCTGTCAATTAACAGAATATCAGTCTCACAGTTCTATAGGGGATAAAAAATATACACATACACATGGAAGAAACTCCCTAGATTAAATTCAGAGCACACTGTTTGACCCATGCTTTGCCCAACAACAACAGAGTCATAATAAGAATGCAGACGCATGATAACACGAGTTATTCAACTCCTGTCATTCACTGCTGTATTCTCTCAGCATTTCCCCACAGTGTTTCTTTCGGCAAGGTGGACTTCCCCAAACTTTTCTTCCTGCACAGTAAAGAAAGCTGCAGCGCTTCAACAGAGATTTGGGCAAACAGAGTTTAACTTCTCATTTTGATGAAGTCACGCTTCCTTGGACCTGTCAAATGACTGTCACCACAACGTCATTACTAAATGGAACCTGACACTCACCATAGGCTGAAAAGGACAACACATGAGTCACCTTACTTCATGTGAGAAGTTTTACGTATGTGTGTGTGTAGAGGCTTGGGTTTACCCATGATGTCATTTAGTTTCACTTATGTCAGCTACTGTTGCTGCTCATTCCTGGACATTTCAATAAGTTAGGTGCTTTTCTTGTTGGGGGAGTTGTTGAAAACTGCAGTGGGAAAACCTGCCGTACTGCCCAACACACCAGCTACCCAGATGTGAGGCCCCAACATTAGACACACTTCTCTCCTTGACAAAGGGGACCTGAGGAGGGTGGGTGGGGGTAATCCCCACCGAGAAAATCACATATTTTCAGGATGGTTTAGTTCTGGAATTTCTTCTTTCATTAATATCCCCTCGCTATGTGCAGCAGTTCAACGTGTTTTCTCTGTTGTTTTGCAAAACATTACTGCCTAAACAGAAAAGAGTGGACCCATCAACATTAACTATGCTGCTATAAATTCATTAAACTGTAGTTATAGGGTATGTGGGTGGTGATGGAGCAGTGGATAAGATACATGCCTTTGGTGTGAGAGATCTGGGCTCACTTCACAGAAATTCTTTCTAAAGCAAATTATTAAGGAAATTGTTTATAACATTAGCGTATGAAGAACTTGTGAGATTAAGATGTATTTAAAGCTGTTCTACACGTCACAGGATCTACTTTAAAAGACATATACAGGGCTCGACAGTAACGGTGGCCCGATGGCCCAGTGTCAGTAAAACGTAATGTCAGGACAGTTGAACTAGCAACTCACGCAAAAAAATTTGTATTTAGAAAAATAATAAATGAAACTCAACATCCTGCAGTTTTTTTGCAGCTCTTAGCGCATACCGATGTCCAATCCAGAGTTGTAGTTACGTGACGAGAGGTTGTCAAGTGTTACTTCTCTAATCTCAATCATGCGGCAACCTTTGGGTCGAAAGTGAAACCATGCAGACGGAACTTAAAGCTGCATTCTCTCTAACAGCCTGCAAAATGTTGCTACTTCTCAGCTGATTTATCACCTCAGTAAGCACTTTTAAATGAGTTCATGGTCTCAGTCGCTAGTTTCAAGTCTTCTTCAACACAGCATGATGTTCATTTAGTATATTATGGTCCTATTTAGGGGAAAATAGACGATAAAGCAGCGTATGCCTTTGGACGGGACTACCTTGTGATTGACAGGTTGCTACCATGGCAACCTGTTCGAGGCGACTTGTGCCCGCTGCTCTGTGTACATTTTTCATAAATGGCTGTCGGTAGGTATGTCATGTTCGAGTCTGTTAGTATGTTTGGTGTTCATTTTAATTGTGATTACATTTTTGCTTTTATATCCAGGATGTATTTAATAAACGATTAAACACTTCTGTAAGGAGGGACAGTAAAAATTATCTTCGGGCCAGTAAGTTTCAAACCCGCTGGCCCAGTGCAGCCAGTTGCAAAAAAGTTTAACGTTGAGCCCTGATATCTGAGTTTCATTTCCAAACAGCCTGATGAAGAAGTGTGCAAAAGCATCTTGCTTGTTGGGGTATTTTTGTCCTGGGGATCTTGATTTATTCAATAGTTTGTTTGCATTAACATACAAAGGAGGGAAAAACAAATGAATTAACTATACTGAGCCACACTTTTCCTGTCAAGGATGCTGACTGAAGCATTAATCCAGCTCGAGTGAGGAAATCAAGTCCTGGAAATTGTACCACTGTACCACTGACCACATTTTACAAACATTTATTTCAACATTTCTCCTGATTGGTTTTCATATCCTATTATCACAATCTCTGATAGCTTTTGAACCTTGTTTCTCCAAAATGTCAGCTACTCAGAATTTAAATAAAACACCCCCACATTTAGTATTCACTGTTCTGAAAAAATTTCACCAGCAGCTCATGGGATTTGGAATTTTTCTGACCCATAGAGGAACCTTGTCAACCTTTAACCTCTTTCACATGACAACAGCAAGTTCTGGGATCTTTATTTGATGTGTTGGATGAGGGCTGTCTGAATAACAGATCAAACTAAAGCCATCTGATAGAAAAGATTTAGGTGGGGCTTCAAACAGACTGTAACCTTTTAAAATCAGCTACTGGGGTTGGATGAAGGCAGCTCCACCCCCGCCCCTCCCCTCCCTCACCACCACTGACCCCCACCAAGGTATTTTCCCTCCAGAAAAAGATGACACGTTTAATATGTCGGAGCAGATGGAGACAGAATTTCAAACTGTCCCGTCCCCCAAGCTAAAGCTACTTAAAGTGCAACTGCATTCCACACCCATTATCTTGTCTGTCTGGCCTGACTGTCAGCAGTATAAACACTTTTTTAAAGAGAGGACTGTTTGATTTATTAACCTAAAGGGTATCTCTACTGCTATTGGCCAGTAAAATCCATCCATCAGAAAACCATTCATAAGAAAACCACAGTATTATTTCCAGACAGGAACATGAAAGAAAAATTCAGGGGAGCTTAACTATTTAGCTGAGGTTATTGAAACAAAGGCCATCATATGAAGAGTCTTCAGGTCTCTATCATGGAGTACTGATTGCCTTAGTGGGGCTGCGTTGTTGCTGGTTCAGGTACTGGTGAGACATTAAATATGATCCAAAATGTCCAGTTTGAGAAACAGAACCAAGTGTGTGAAGGCTTATAAGACACAAAACACTTCACAGTGGTTGATATTTGATATAACGCTAGAAAGGTGTCATGGTGACAGTCCTTGTATCTTTTGTTGCGGCAATCACGAGGACAGTAGACACACGGCATTAATCTAGCCCACATTCCTGATGTGTGCTTGCATGTTTGTGACTGTCCACTGCAGCACCTTGTGGAATTCTGATGAGGGTGCTTTTAGTTTTTTTTGGGTCTTTTTTAGATGACCCCGTGTTTTTGTGCGGGAGCCCTCTGCCTTGGCACCCCCACTGGGTCAATGGAGTGGTACTATTTAAATGAATGAGAGGGCTACCATTTTCACTGAGTGCTATTGGTAGTCTCAGTAATAGAGAGTCTTTCCCAGCATAATGTTCCTAACTATATGAACTTGTCGTTATGTGTGTGAGTAGCTGTTCATTGTAACAAGCCCATGGCCAGTGCTTAATTACGCACCTCACGCAGGTGTGTTTATTACCATTTTATGGCAGGCCTGCTATTAGTAACATTCTACATCCACAAAAGCAATAGAGCAAAAGTAATGGAGTTAAATTACTGCAGATCTAAAATGCCCCACCCTAGACCTGAAATGCTTGCTAATACAACTGGTAACCTTACTGAATTATGTGAAAGTGCTCTTGATTCACCCACAATTACAGACCTAATGTGAAAAACATTATTTTAAAATGCCCTCTCTGTCAATTAATACTTTTACAAACATTGCAGCTTACAAGTCTGAAGTCACCCTGAGAAGCCGCCCATAGCTTCTGAAAGTCCCTTTGAAAGCGTTATCTCTTTGATGTGAGGAATGCAGATCAAGCTGGAAACTGACTTTAGGTGCTATCTACTTTGCTGGAATCTGTCATTATATGATATAGCTGCAAGGAATGGAGATGGTGCCCCTGGCTGTGACCACCAATCACCCCCCCCCTCCCACACACACACACACACACACACAGACCAACCTCACCACCACCTCCCCACACAAACACACCCTCAGCCACAGCTCAGACAGGCAGCCCGCTCTCCAGCCTCTGACAAAGAGCAGCTCTGAGCAGAGAGGTGGCCCATGACACAGACACAACTCAGAGATAAGAGCTGGATGTAAAAAAAAAACACATTTGTCCTATGGGAGACAATGTCAGTGGTGTCTGCGCTGGTGATAGTTTAGTAAGCATATGAACACTTTCAAAGCCTAGGTCTTGTTTTCTCACAAAAAAACCCATTCACACTCAGGGCTAGACAGGGCTAAACCCCCGATTCCCAGGACAGGGTTACTAGAGGGTAAACCCACCGGTGTTCAGTTTACCTACCTGTTTATTTACAGGAGCGAGTTTACAAAGCTGACAGTATCTATCCTATATATCACAATAAGGTTAATGTGAGGAAAAATAGGTTTAGTTTAGCTAGGCGCCTTTCTGTCCATAACACTTTCCTTTTCTTTCAGCAGAATGGTAAATGGCTGCATTTTAGGTTATTCAGGGGAAAACCCTCGAAACTACTGGTGGGTTTTCCACATTCTCACGTACAAACTCTTCCGTCACGGCAGCCTAAACAAGAAGTAAAATATGTATTACACAGTCACACACAATAACAGCGCTAACTTCAGGTGTAACTTAGTAGTTTCACCTCGCAGGTATTAGGCTACGGCTAACCGGCATGTAAGTAGAATAACGTTACTAGTAAAAATAAACTGTCTACAGTTTATCGACTACCGATCATCCCCGTTTCCAACTTATTTTGAAAGGCATCCTATCCCTACTAGCCTACATTATTAGCCAAGCTTACCTTGGAGAAGAGTCCCGGCGCTAATGAAAGCCATCAACAAGCAAGCAGCCGAATCCATCCTTAAAAAGTTGCTGTCAGGGTGTGTGGATACCTCTGGTGAGCTTAAAGAAATGAGCAGTACAAGTCTGTCTGAGCTGTACAAATATGGTCCGCAGATATGCCACTCCTGTGTAGAGAGGAAATGGAAAGTCCGCAAAATACCCAACGCTGTGTCTCAGTGAGAAGTGCAGGTGAAAGAGAGCGGAGCAGTGCGGGGACAGGAGGAGGAGGAGGAGGAGCTCTTCCGGGCTTTTTGCTTGTAGCCTATGTCGCTTTGAGCTGCTATTGGAAATATGGACACTCCCAGATGCAAGTGAAGGTCAGCAAACAAACGCTTTAACAACTTTAACTGTGGCCAGGGACGTCACTAGGATTGAAAGACAAGGTGGGCTTAGCCCCCAGGGTATGCTAACTTGTGTTAGTTATTGTAATATAGTTCTTAGACACACCAAAACTGCTCTGAACATTGGAATATACATGAATAGTAGTAATAATGTTTTTTTTTGTGTGTGTGTGTGTGTGTGTGTTTGTGTGTGTGTACGTGTGTGTGTTTTTGTGTACCAGATTTTTACATTTTTAAATCCTTTAAAAGTATGCTAAGTGTTGCTAATGTGTGTGGTGTAAAGGTATGTGTGTGAGTGTGACACACATGAACAGGTTCCTCCTATCCTAAGGGTTGATTCATAGTTAATTAGAGCCACAGTAGCCTATTAAGAAACTGGCAGCATCTGTGTCAGGGTGTGTCTCTCTCATTGCTGTCTTCCTCCGCCCACTCCACTTGACTCCACTGCAGCAGCTGAGTGGGTTGTCCAGCAACATTCCAATTTTGATGTACAGTACAGAAGTAAGCCAATGGCTTATGATACTTTATCTAACTATTGCATATGAGTGCCTTTAATAGAAGTCTATGTTCCAAACTACCTAAGGATTATTACAGTACATACTGTAGCCTACTCAATATTATATTTTAACATACGACTAGGTACTTGTGTTCAAAGTTCATTTCAAATGTATACAGTCGCAGATGTCTATTGCTATAGGTTTTTGGTGCATTACACTGTATTGCAGGTAGCCTACAGCAGTCTGTTTACCCTAAAACTCACCTTATCTACTGATATTTCATTCATGTGATTCAGTAACAGTCTAGCTAGCACTTGTAACCAATTATCACGAAACAATAACATTTTATAAAAAGGCTACTTGTGCATGCTTATATTTGTTTGTTTGCTAATCGTTAATTGATTGCTCATTACCTTCTAGCTGTCATTAGCCATTACTATTGCTCGGTATGCTAGCTATTCTGTAGATGGATATGTCTATCTTAGGTTTGTGTCTACTGTAACTTCTAATCAGTCTGTACTGTTGTTTTTTGTTGTTACAGAACCACACTCACACCTTGTATATGCTTTGTAGATAAACAGTCCAAACTGTAGACCCGGACTCTGCATCCTTTCTTTATTAACTCTCACCTGAGCACAAAATAGTGTCCTGATCCGACACCCTGAAGCGGTTGCTGCCACGCCTATTGATCCACCCCATACACATTATCCAACGAGGGTTAAAATGAAGGGCAACTGGACTTGGTTGAAGATACTGGAAGACGTTTCGTCCCTTATCCAAAGGACTTCTTCAGTTCTGACTGACTGGCAGGGAAACTCAGCTATTTAACCTCAGTGGGGTCGTTGGCCCGGGTCATCGATACCGCTGGTTCGTTAGTGTTCCTTGGTGTTGTGACGACAGTCGTTACAGTCGTTGAGACTACCTGTGGCCAAGACTGAACGACCATCGTTGGTATCTTCACCTGAGGCCAAGACTGAACGACCATCGTTGGTATCTTCACCTGAGGCCAAGAGGTTACGTTTGTTGAGTTTCCTGGGAAGCATACACATTCTCTCACACAATTTTGGTCCTTCGAGCCAGATCTTAGTCACTGCTCCAGCCCATGATGTTCAGGCCAGATGAGAGAGACCCAGAACGGGATGTGGACCGCCCACACCGACACAGCCAGCTGCCATCATGTCTTCAAGATTATGAGGTCACTCATCCTTTCAGGTACCGCAGTCCTGTTGATGAGCAGTCCAGACAGTCTACGACTGCTGATGTTCTAGGATGTATTCAGAGCATGAAAGAGGAAAAACACTGGAGCTAACTGGCAGAAGTAGTCTGAAAATGACAAAAGCTAAGTTACCTGTATTTTAACTTTTGTATTAACTTTTGAAATAATACTGACAAAAAATTATTGCAAGTTCTGCATTATTAGGGGTGTGGCCACTTTGACTGACAGGTGGCAGCTGTCTCTGTCACAGCTGGTCGAGTGACTGCCGTCTGTTTGCTCAGCAAATACAGTCAGTCATGTAGCTCGGCAGCTCTGCCTGTTTGATCCTTTGGACGTTTCTTCATGCAGATACCAGACTTGCCAAACAGCCAATGTTAGATTTGGATAGGTAACATTAAAGCTAAATTACTGTAACAGAGTCACTGTGTCACTTGAATAAATGCCTCTACCTGGACTGAGGGACGGGGTTAAGGGTTGAGGAAGAAGCGGCGGTGGTTGCGGTTGTCGTGTCGGTAAAGACAGGTACCTTAGCTGGGCTCTAACTATGGCCATGTTCCTGAGTTGGGTAAAGTAATATTAGTTATGTAGAGAAATTAGCTGTATGACAGCCACTTATGAGTTTGTCTAGGCTCTCCAGCTGCATGTATTTTTAACTTGTGAGGCCCCTGCTTACATTCAAGATTCAAGCCCTTTTTTTGTTACTTTTGTAACAACCCAAAGGTGCATTAAAATTCTCAATAAATATAACATTATGTCAAGTAGTACCAGTTCAACAGTAAATTTAACATAAGTAATAATGAATATACAATAAGAGCTAACTTGACTGTTCAAGTAGTGTCCAGCAGTAAGATTAATATCACATATGAGTGTATTGCATGTTGCCATAATTACTGTTACATGCCAGAGAGGGTATCATGCTGAGGCGATTCCTCAGAGTTCAGCAGGTCTATGGCAGTTGGAAAGGATCACTAACTTTCTACCATTGTTGTGTTTACAGTTGCCAGATGAGCTGATGGCAGCATCATTCCAGATGTGAAGCACCAGAGTCCAGCTCTACAGAAGTCCCAGCTTCCAGTGTGGCCCTGCCAGATCCTGCAGCTCACTGCTTTGTTCAGCCTTGTTTTTACTTTTACTCCACAACACCTGAACTCTACTGATTTCAAATTATGACAGTGGGTTCCTATACATAGGTTCTCTTATTATATTTACTGTTGCAACATATTACTTCAGGTCATACAAAACAACTTTTAAATTTGTAACTTTTAATATTGATGTTTGCAATGTGCAGTGATGAATGCAAACTATGATTTTAATTTGTTAAACTGTTGCTTTTGTATTAGAAATCATTTCTTTTACTTAAAATTGATCAGACTAAATTTACTTAAAATAAAATCACATTCTTCATTCATCAGTTTCTAAAGTTATTGAATATAGTGTAATCTAAACTTAACAAAATATAATAATTTAACCTGTAAATGAAAATATTAAGATGGTATTATAAGTTAACATTTTGCATGTGTCAGTAAAAAAAAAAAAAAGCTGATGTTATATATTTGTTTTATTTGTACATTTCTTTAAGAGATGAATTTGACATTTACTGAAAAGTTACTCTATTGCGAAAACCAAAGAATTATCTGCACACTGAATAGTTTTGAAGCCCTGTAGAAGGTGTTGTGGGCACAGGTATTAGGAGGCTTACATTGTAGAGATGCTCCTATTTACCACAGGTGCATTCAATCAGCTCTGAGACCTCAGACTTTGCATTGTCACAATTAATGAAACCACCTAGTTGGATTTATTATAACTCTATGCAGGTCATTCTTTGTTTTTTATCACTTAGCATCAGGTTGGTTTGGATGTGTGCACATGTGTTTAAACTAGAATTAAAACAGAGCAGCCAACAAGGAACTCTTCAAAAATTATTCAGGCTCTGGTACTGACTCCTTATTTATCTTAAAGTATAAGGTAGAAAGTGAAAATGCTCCTGCACACACAGAAATACACTGCATAATTATTTTTCCACATTTCAGATGAACCATGAAACATTTGTCCTTGGAATTGACAGACAGAGTCTGAAATCTACCATTTTCAGTCAGTAGTAAAAACAAACTTTGTACAAATATATAGAGAATTTATTGCAATGTGAACCATAATTTATATATTTTTTAAAATGTGCATAAAAACACTTATGGACAATATTTAAAACTAAATGTAAAAGTGAACAGAAGGGGAAAAGGCCTTTCCATGTCAGTTCATGCCATCAGACGTCCAGCACAATGAGGATGAGTTCCAGGTCTCTGCAGCTCTCTTGCACCATGTGGGACATCTGATCCACACTGTGACTATGGAAGTTAAGTAAAAAATGTTGCAGGTAATGGAAAATATAAAGTTAACTATAAAAGATGTCTCACTGTGGTGACTATAATGTCACATAGTTGAGAAAATGGAACAAGGGAGCAACACCTCAATATATAGATGACAGTCAATAACAATAGTCAGCAATATGTTTTTGTGTTGTCAGACAAGACAATGTTATATCAGCTCTCAAATGTCAAGTAGCCATCACAATAAATGCTGATCCATGGTAATGTTAACTGTTAACGTTAATCTTTAGTCTCCACATAATGTTGTGCGGCAAATTCCCACATTTAGATATTAAAAAACGTTGAAGCATTTTAAAACTTAATCACAGAGATACTTGTTACTACAAGTGTTGTACAAGTGTAATTTCAACTTACCTCCAAGCTGGTAACGATGCGGCCACAGCCAGCCAACCAGACAAGCCCCGGTTAAAAGCTACTTCTGCTAAAGCAGAGTAGCATATAGCATTAGCTCCTTAGCCTGAGCTAACTCGGTCACGTCCAACTAGGCGGGTGTGGTTTCAGTAACCAGACACCTCAGCTCCACCCACGACCCGCCTATTTACCAATTTTTGGTTATCCTGGAGTGACGTGGTGCCAAGATGGCGACGGCCAGCTCGGGCGAAAAAGAGCTTTAAAACTGCTCTTCAGAAACCAATGGGTGACGTCATGGACACTACGTCCATTGTCTATGCTTTGCACATTGAATCCTGTCAGTGTGAAGGTAATGTAAGTGATCTGATTCAATGCTGC